CCCAGCTACTTGGGAGGCTGTGGCAGGAAAATTGCTTGTACCCAGGAGGCAGAGGCTACAGTGAGCTGAGATTGCACCACTGCACTCCAGCCTGGGTGACAGAGCAGGACTCTATCTCAAAAACGATAATAAAATTATTTTTCCTCTTTTATTCATTTTTTTACAAAATAAATTTTGCTTTATTCTCTTTTTTCTTCTCTTAGTAGAAAGTGAATTAAAGAAGTTGGATTCTTTGGGGATGATGATAAATCTTTTTGGACATTTTGAATTTAAGGTGACAATAGAATTGGCCTGACACCAGCAGGAAGTTGGAGATGTGACATGTTAACTCAGCAACAAGGTCAAGACTGAAGATATGAATGTGGTAGACATATGTGTAAAGATTATAGTTTATGTCAGTGAATGGCATTTTCAAGTAAAAGAATGGAGACAGAGAATAAGAACATTTCATGGACTCTTTTCCTCACTTTAGAGATATTAAAAGGAAATAGAAAATAAAGAAAAATGAATTTAAGAAATGAGGAAATAATCAGTTTAATTCAATGAAGTATAAAGGAAAACAAAAGAAAGGAGATGGTGACTGACCAAATTCTAACTGGTTGGTTCATTTCTAGATTTGGGAAAGAGTTACATTACATTTAATTATTAATAACAGGTCGAATATCTTTCCCTGCATCATCAGGCAAAAATCTGCTTTGATAGTTGGGAAATAAAAATTTTTCTAATTAGTTTAGTAATAGTTAATTGAAATTTTCTCAGATATATAAATTTTACAGTAAGAAAATCAAAATTTAAAAATGAACTCAATATATTGTCATTATAATATTTGTTAAATTTTGTCTTAAATCAATTATTATAGGTAGTCTTTGTTTAATAGTGATTGCTCATATATTTTTATCTCATGAAGAAAAGTAAAGAAGAAGAGTTATTTTTCAAATAAAAAAGATTATAACATATTTCTCTGCATACCATCTTTTTACATATGAGGTCAGAAAAGCAAATTTTGTTACAAGCATTGATTTCATTGAGCAAAAGAATCCAAATATCTGATATCTTTCTAAATGAATTATTCATTTTGTTACAGAAGAAATAAAACTGAGATTGTTGGAACGGTACATTATTCCACATTGCACTTGCATCTGGTTTTAAGGATTTGTTCCCTATAGCCTACGGTATATGACAGGTTTTATCTCCTTCCTGTCTCTTAACATTCACAAGAGTGCAATTTTATTCCCTAAAGTTTAAATAAGCCACATTGTTACATGACTTTTTTATATAACCAATTTTTAAATTGATAAGTTATATCTAGATCTCTGAAGCAACTATCAAAATTATTAAAATACGACAGCTTTCTAGGATGTGTTCATTCTGAAACATACATTAGGTATAAATTTCTGTCACTATAGCGAAATCTGAGAGAGATACACCTGCATCCCCTAGTCCAAAGGGTTAAATAAAGACAAATTGTGTTGTTTTAAGTGTACAATAATCCCTTGGTTTATCCTTCATGCTCTGTAAGTTTATTGTTTTATTTGTAAAGTTAGGCACATCATTCACTAATGGTGCCCCATACATTATAAAAGTAGAAACATATCTGAAAACAGTAATATGAAGAAAAGTGTAGGTATATAATTTCAGCCTGAGTAATTGATAAGTTTATCATATGCAATATAATATAGGTTTTTACAGACAATCAGAAGACCACTAATTTCCTTCCCTTTGTATTACTATTCAAAAAAATAATGTAATAAATTTTGTTCTCCCAGATGAACTGAATAGATTAGTTACCATATTATATGTGTTTTCCTTCTTACTGCTATATACTTTCAACTTAAAAATTACTTCAGAACAAATAGCATATCTCTCCTGTGTTGAAAATAACTCAACTCAGTTGATGGCTGAGGTTAGTTCTTATTTCTCTCTATTTGATATATGATCAAGAGAACCACAATTGCCAAGAATAATACAACAGAATAATAAGGCTATATGAGGAATTGTCAAAACTATTAATTCAATAGCCCAAGTCACAGTTGATGCTCAAAGGCAATTTCAAACAGTTACCAGACACTTCAGGTTACAGACTAATTTTTTCTCAGTTTCCTTAACAGGACATCTACGAAAATATCAACCCAGGAAGTTACACACCGCTAAATGCTTTAGGATATTTAGTTTCAACACTAATATCTCATGCATTAGCATAAGCAGAAATAATTACAATTATATTAAATGTGTATGTTTATTTGCTGCTATCATCTTACGTATCATTTTATATTATATTCCCATCATTTTGTTAATTTAACTATGATATAACATTTAAAAGTTTCTCCGGTGGATTATTTTTATTTTTCCTTAGATTTTGTGGACACTATAATTAAAATATGTTATTTGAAATTTTAATAATAATGTTGGATTTTCATAGAATTTTCAATGAAGAAAATATATTAACTACATCCCTATGTATACAAAGAAAGCACAATCAAAAGGGTTAGTCCTGTGTATCACATTATTGAAATTAAGTCATTTCAATATGAATGTACACAGGCAGTTGGTTGATCACTATAATTTCCGTTTCACTCATAGGCATATGGCAGATAGTTCATTAGAAAAAGCAGAGAAGACAGCACAAAGTTCTAAACTCTAATCAGGTAACAAAAATTTACCTTAATGTTTTACCACATTTTATTACCTATTACCAATATCAATTATGAAGCCATCATCTCTTTACAAAAGATTTCATGGAAATAAATACACCTCTTTCACATATATAAAGCCCACAAAATTTCAACCCTGATTCTATTTCACAAACGTCTCCCTCAGCCTCAAACTAACTGATCCATTCATAGGTTAGACACATTCAAACTATTTTTTTTTTTTTGGTGGATTGAGAAAAACAATGGTTTACATTCTTTTAGTATTATCAGAAGTTTCATGTGTACCATTTTTGAGTTTCTATCTTTCTGTACATTTTTCCATTACCATTGCTTCCTTCTAGCACTGTATTACTTGAAGAATATGAGGCAGTTATAACAACTAAAGAATTAAATGGTATAAATACACCTTTTTTCAAACCCTTTGAACAGGAAAGAGAGGAAAATCCAGTACAGATAACTATATAACTTTGCCCTTTATGGTTTTCTTTTAGATTATTTGTTAAAAGGGAAATTATTACATTTTTATGTGCTCTGCACAGCCTAGCCTTAGTTTATAGGATGAGAAGAAAATAAAAGATTAACTGTTTTATTGCCAAGGGATAGTCATTATCTGCCCGTGTACATTGGAAGAATTCTTAGCACCCTGGCTGTGGTTTCAATGCCTGTGTCCAAGGTCATGAAGTCATGAGCTTTATTCTGTGCCCGCAGTCATCATGTGGAGCAGTGAACACAATTACAGAACATTTGTGCGGCCAGCTTTGCTCAAATCTCTTTCTCTCTTTTCTTAATATTAAACAAATTCTCTGATCTGCTGGATCATTTTACTCAGGCAATATGTCTGAACACCTGCCTTACAATTTTTAAGGTGATTATTTAAAATTGAAAATATCATTAAAAGTCATCCTACTGTGGAACTTCTTTGAAGAAAGTGGATTATAGAGTAGTAGAGATATATAAATTGGGCAAGGAATTCAAATCCTTGGAAAAGCGTGTCTGCTTTTCTTACACTGAGGCGAATGTGAGTTTTCAGCAGCAATCCTGTCTGGGTCCCTCCTAGAGCCACTGAACAATTTCTTTTCATTGGTCACGGCACCTTCCTGAAAAGACTGCCTGCTAACCAGAGTGTGGGGAACGATGCCCTGCAAGAAACACAGAAATGGCATCCTCTAGGGAGATTTTGTCAGCCATGGTGAGGACTGTGTAATAAAATTACACATTCAAGAAGCTTTGGTTCTCTCTCATATCATGATGTCATCTTATTTTATCCTTCATCTTTTGTCATTGAATAAAAACAAATCAAGATGATTTTCACTTGATATAAAGCCACATATCACAGTTAAATAATAAACAGCACATGCCGAGTGTTTTGTGGAACTCCTGCATTTAGGATCATAAATGTGTATTACCATTCTCCTCTTCTCTCTCCTGCCAAAATATATAGCTTGACAAGGCAAAAGTAGTTCCTGAGGAATTTTCTTTAAAAAAATTTTTTTTAGCTGTCTTGGTCTTTTAAAGCACGCAAGTATCTCTAGGTTTTAAAAACATCAACATGTCTCCAGGGACCTTCTGCTCTAATACAGGGTAAGTAAAAGAGTATTTTTACAATTTTTATGTTTTGAAGTTTTAAATACGAGGAAGTACATACAAGTTTGAAACTCTCTCAAGAGTCAGAATTTGCTACTACCTTGAATGGATTACCTCATTTTACTTATTTGTTGTCAATTGCATTCTAACAGAAGGATGATGGTTTTTGAGATCTGAAGTCTATGCTATTTGAGTAGTAAGGGCATCCATGTGAAAAATATAGTAGCAAGATACACACATACAGAGCACAAAAAAACTACGTGAAAAAAGCAAGTATTTAGTTTTCCTAGCCTTTTTAGAATAAAGGGTTTATTTTATTCATTTCTGTAACATATTATATCCCTCTAGTAAGAATTTCATTCAACCAAAGCCCATTAACTGTTAAATTATTGCACTGCTATTTAAAATCAATAATGAAAATGTTTAGCAGAGTAATAAGCAAACTAAGTGATTTCAGAAATCTTCAAGATTTTTTTTTTAATTCACATTTTGCTTCAGAAATGTCTCAGTGGTTAATGTTTTAAAGTACACTGGTCACTGTGATAATCAACATTTCACATTAGTTTTGCTTAAGAAAAAGTACATTTTTGTGACTCACTAAACATATTTTTAAGAGAAAAATGCAGAAATATAAATCAAGACACCTTTCATTTTACTTTCATTGAGGTGCATCTAAGCAAGCAGAACAGGATGAGACTCTGCCTTACTTAGGAAGACACTTGCTAACACACTACTGATGACCCAGGCAAATTAGAGGTAAATTACCTTTGAGAGGTCCCCAGCCTCCAAATAGAAGCAGATAACAAACACATTCCACGTAACCCAGAGGACTAGCCAGACAGCATACTGTAGAGAAGCGAGAGAGAAATAACATATAATTAATTTCGAATCAGTCGAGTATGATTCAAATAAAACTTGAACTTTTGCACACCCAAATATAAGATTAGCGGGAAAGGTTAGATATTGCTTCTCTCTAAGGAACAAGATTAGATGTACGTTTATCTCTGTTGAGTTTTTTTTTTTCCTTTTCTTTTTTTCTTTCTTTTCTTTTTCTTTTTTTTTTTTTTTTTTTTTTTTGACAAAGTCTCACTCTGCCACCCAGGCTGGAGTGCCGTGGCATGATCTCAGCTCACTGCAACCTCTTTCTCCCGGGTTCAAGTGATTCTGCACTCTCAGCCTCCCAAGTAGCTGGGACTACAGGTGCGTGCCACCACACCCAGCTAATTTTTGTATTTTCATTAGGGATGGGGTTTTGTCATGTTGGCCAGGCTGGACTTTTTTTTCTTTTTTCTTACTGTTACAGACTCATAATATTACAGCTCAAATCTGCTTCAGGATAAATTTTTTGGTTTTAAGACAAAAAATAGTAATCCACATTTTTGTTTTAAGAGTGAATAATTATAGTTTCTAGACATCTAAAAAAAATTCAATGCTCTAACATACATGTCAGATAAAACTCACCAAAAGAAAACTCACAGTTTCCTTAGCAAAACCATCCCCATGTAGGACAATGTATAACCTTTTCCCAAGTTGTCAAGGATAATCTTCAAATCAGTCTTTCTGCCTCTATCCCATTCTAATCAGCTTTCTCTCTTTGGTGTCTCCTTTTCACATCTCCATTCACCTTCTTATTTTATCATTTCACTATCTCCCATTACAGTGACCATCTAGCTAGTATCCCTAAATTTATTCTATTTTCTCTTTAGTGTACCTTCTTTAACGATGACAGATTTTCTTACTAAGATATAGTTCTCATCATTCAGTCAGCTAAAATGTATGAAGCACCCAGAAGGCAACATGCTAGCAAGACACTGAGAATACAGAGACCAATGATGAATTCCTCCTGAACTCAAATCAAGTGAGGGTGATAGATTTTTTAAAAATAGATCATTATTATACAGGAATCATAAAAATATATAAAGTCTGAGCACAAGGAAGGAAAATGAGAGGAGTACATAACCTGTTCTGGGAAAAAGAATCTGCAAAGCTTAACAAAAGAGGTTAAGAAACACCTTCCAGAAGAGATGAATCAAGCTTAAAATGAATGGACTTAAAAGCATGGGGGGTTGGAAGGGCTTCATGGGAGGGTCCTGGAAACAAAGGAAAGAGCAGGTGTGAATTTTTAAAAAGTGGAACAAGATGGTATCATGTCACTTCCCTTCTAAACAAATGCCAGTGGCTCCCATCCTTTCTAGGTGAGTTCCAACATCTTTAATTTATGCTTCACGAACCTCCATGATCATGATCATGATCTTGTACCTTGTTATCTTTTGAGACAACATATGCCTTTCAGTTGATCTCTGGAGTAATCCTCGATTCCAGACACATATATTATTTGCTCTTCCATGTAGATGGAAAGTTATTTCCCACCTCTGTGCCTTTTTGTGTATTATTGTTGGGGTGATCAGACCCAACACCAGGTTGTGGGAGTGACAAAGTCTGGCAGAGTCAAAGGAATGAGAAAAGACAGTTTGAGAGAGAAAGTGGGTCCAGGGGGCCATCGCGAGTGTGGAGGTCGCAAAGGCCCCAAGCTCTGGAAGCCCAGTCTATTTATTGGTGCTCAAACAAAGAAACAGGTGGTGAAAATGTGGGGGTTGAAAGGGCAAGCGTATGATCTACAGCTGTGATGGTTTAGTATTTCCTTTGAAGCATATGGAACATATTCTGCTACTTGAGATAATGGAGAGCAGGTTCTTTTAACTCAAGATACAATCGATCCTGGGAGGGCAAGGAACAAAGAGCTAGCAAGCCTAGACACAATCCAGAGCCATGAGCCCTGGATTCTATCCAAGCCACGAGGGGTTTTGTGCCCTGGGCTTAGATTGTGGTGTGTCAGGGCAGCCTTCTGCCCTTTGGCACAGAGCTTGGTGTTCCAAAGGCCACAAGGGGTTTTAGACTCTAGACTCTGGACCCTGGACATGTTCCAAGGCTCTTTTACATTGTGTCAGACATGCAAGCCCTGCTTCAGCTTCTCTCAACACTCAGCTTTTCTCCCAACAATTATCCATGTATTTTTGAATACTTTTACTTTCCCCTAGGCACTCTTCTTACCACCTATCATTTCTTTAAAAGGTTAATTCAAATATCACCTCCTTCATGAACAAGAATTTCCTGAGCCCTACTTAGTGCTGCAATAAATTTTGTTTCTCCTAATTTCATATGAAATGTCTTATATCTGATTATTTGCATATTTTCTCCAATGCACAATGTTAAGCTCCTTAAAAGACTACTTTTTAATTTTTATGTTCCTAGGTTCCTAACTTAGTATTTTGCACAAAATAGGTATTAAGACAATATTTTCTAAGTCCATGAATAAGTAGCAATATGGAGAAAAATTGTATTATTTTCAGATGCAGAACCCATTCTTCCCTCTCAGACCCAGTTTTTGTTACATTACTATGATCATTCATGTAGTATGAGGAGTGAGAGCTCTATGTGAGGAGTTTGTGTAACAATAAATGATAACTCAACTGTTTTCTAAAGGAGGTGGTTTCATCTAACTGCTTAATGTGTGCATTGCTCAATGGAGTATAATGTTAGGGCAAACTAAATGATCCAACACAAAATATGGAATTTGAGAAGCTCTATGAGTTGAGGGCTGGATGTAGAGACAGAATCAGGGAGCCAAGCAGACTGTAGCAAGAGAGGAACTTCAATTATAGAACAGAGATCTAAGGAGAAATTTAAGTTTGTTTCAATGACTTAAGTGATTACAAGAGACAGAGAAAGCATGACCGATTATAATGTTTTATCATGTCCTTTGTGCACAATGACATATTTTCCCCATATTTTTTATAATGGAGAGCTAAATAAACACCAGTTACTAAAAGTAAAAGTAGCAGGATACTAAGATTTCAGCAATGGCTGATGAGCTAATGAGAGACACTGTATTACACATATCAAATTCTCTTGAAAATTTGTCGTTGGCAAGCATTCTTTCCAATATAGTATTTAAAAATGTCAATGTTGAAGCTTCTTAATTTCATAACTAAAATTATATTTTATGCTTATTAAATGCTAACCATGTTTATCTGTATTCATGTGGTATATAGGGCACAGTCATTACTTCAGTATATGTTGAAAATATAATAAAAATTTGGAATCTTCATTTATACTTAGTTACTTATATTTATGTGTATGTATAAATGTAAATTATACTTAGTTTGGTTAAAAATCAAGCTGAAAAATTTAAGTTTTAGTCACCAAAATTAATAATTTTATGAAACCATATGACAGGTAATGGATTATATGCAAATAACTAGCATATAGAGAATAAGAACTCAGAACCTAACATCTGGTTCTGTCACTTTATGATCTTTGGCTATCTTCAAGTGATATGACCTATTACAATTAAGTTTACTTAAATATAAAATAGGCTTATTAGTAGTAGCAAACTCCATGGCTTCAGTGAGAATGGAATGATCAACTGTTGAAAAGTACACAATACTTGAATTTTCATTATATGTTGTCATTTTCTTATGACGGTTATGTTACATCACCATCTCTTCTTGTTAAAATAATAACCAGTAGGGTTGGGTGTGGTGGCTCAGGCCTGTAATCCCAGCACTTTGGGAGGCCGAGGTGCGTGGATCACCTGAGGTCAGCAGTTTGAGACCAGTGGACCAACATGGCAAAACCGTGTCTCTACTAAAAATACAAAATTAGCCAAGCATCGTGGCAGATACCTGTAATCCCAGCTACTAGGGAGACTGAGGCAGGAGAATCACTTGAACCTGGGAGGCAGAGGTTGCAGTGAGCCAAGATTGCGCCACTGCACTCCAGCCTGGGTGACAGAGGAAGACTTCATCTGAAAATGAATGAATGAATGAATAAATAAAATAACAGTAATCCCCAAAGACGGTGTGTCATTCTGCCACCCTTGCTGGAAGGCAGTGGTATGATCTTCGATCACTGCAGCTTCAACTGCCCTGGTTCAGCTAATCCTTCCACCTCAGCCTCTTGGGTAGCTGGAACTACAAGCATGCACCACCATGCCTGGCTAATTTGTTGTATTTTTTGTAGGCCAGAGTTTCACTATATTGGTCTCAAACTCCTGGGCTCAAGCTATCTGCCTGCCTCAGCCTCTCAAACTTCTCATGTTAACTGATATAAAACATTGGTCCATTATATTGAACTTGCAAACTAGACTTGTTTACTTAATGCAACATATTATTCATTAAATTAAGGGTTTTTGATATATTAATGCCATTATTTATAGATGAATGCTATTTCATGAAACCAACGTTTCACTAAAATAACAGTTTATTATTTCTAACAGCACAATACATAATTATAAAGCATTTTCTATATCTTATTTTACAAGTTGCGTTTTTAAAAATATTTTTATTTATTTATTTACTTTTTAGAGAAGGCGTCTCACTCTGCTGCCCAGGCTGGAGTGCAGTGGTGCTATCATAGCTCACTGAAGCCTTGAACTCCAGGAGTCCATGATCCTCCTGCCTCAGCCTCTTGAATAGCTAGGACTACAGGTACGTGCCACCATGCCCAGCTATGAGTTGCCTCTTGACAGTATTTATTGGCAATTATTTTGGAGCAGAAAATAATTTTTTTAGTCCCCTTTTTCTAGAGCAATTCAGAAGGATATGTACATAAAGAATATAGCAAATGTTCCTTTCATATCCTTGCATTTACTTTCATTATTTTCACTTAATTGTATATTTCATTACAATCCAATTAGTCTCACAATGCACTATACTTCATTACAGATTTACCAAAAAAAAATGATCACTGTCACTGGTGTAACCCCTTTAATGAACATAGAAATCCACACTAGTGCTACAGAGGGTAATTGCTACTTGTGCATCACTATCCAAAGGCAGGACTTT